ATATATATATATATATATATATATATATATATATATATATATGTATTGGAGTATATCAAACAAGTAGCCCTTGAGACTATTTTATCCCTTGAGGGAGCCCTCACTCACAAAAAGGTTGGAGGCCCCTGTAATATAGCATAATGAGTGATTTAAAAGCAATTTTTGAAATTTTTTTTGGTGAACACCAAATTAGCTAAAGGATTTTCAGCACAGCACAAGTTTTAAAGGTGGGGTAAGCGATTTCTGGTAGCCAATGTTGACATTTGAAATCACCAAAACAAACACGCCCCTATTTTGATAGCTCCGCCCCACACATACGTACACAACCCAGGCAACGATTAGTTCTGTGAAACAAAGCAAAACCAATGTTACACCTTTTTATCCGCCATCTCTATCTTTCTGTCGCTCGGCTGGGCTAATGTCCGTCCCGTGCACTGAACACTCTCTCCTCCGCATCATGAGTAGACACGCCCCTTACTGCTGATTGGCTACAAGTTTGTTTTGCTAGTCGGCCCGAATCAGTTTTCTAAAGCGTTTTTGAAAAATCGCTTACCCCACCTTTAAGTGAAATCTATAGCCGGTTATCAAAGTTTAACACTTTCCAAATCTAATTACACATCATTTAAGCGACAATGTTACGAAATATAAGGTATGGCTTTACTTTCAATTAGTAGTTTCTCTGATTTTAGGCAGATTTACTATAACGTGATGGAGTTACTTACTGTGGTTAAATTACTTATTTCATAGTAAAGATTTTGGATGAAAATTAATTATTTATGGTAAAGATTTTAGTCGAAAAATACATATATCATGGTAAAGATTTCAGTTAAAAATTACTTATTTCATGGTAAAGATTTAGGTTGAAAATTAATAATGTATGGTAAAGATTTTAGTCGAAAAATACATACATCATGGTAAAGATTTCAGTTGAAAATTACTTATTTCATGGTAAAGATTTCAGTTGAAAATTACTTAAATCAAGGAAAAGATTTTGGTCATATCACCCACCTCTATGTAATTTAAACAGGTAGCAGCTAGAAAGTCAAAACGCTTCCTATATCTTTTGTTGTTGATGTCCAATCTAACACCACGGTCAACTAGTAGAGCTGTACCTCACAATCCTGAACTAATCTTGAACTTAAATGAAGTTCCAATGGGAATGGGAGCTCCTCCTACTTTTTTATTGTGTTCAAACCAGGTAACATGGGAACCTTTGTTGGAGACGGTCCATCAGGAATGTAAATGCTGTTGGAAATGAATGGACCACAGCAGGACAGGAGGAAGTGCTCATATAAACCTCTGGGCTGGAGCCATCAAAGTCATCTACACTGAAGCCTCTGGCAAAACGTCAACGATGCATGGAGACAAAACGAGAAGGCCATCTCAGATCCATCTGGAAACATACAATGGTACTTTTGTCTACTGAACGACTGACAAAAGAACTTCTTGACTTGTGTTTCTAAGAGCCAGTGTTTTCTGATCCATTTGCAACAATAGGAACGTTCCCATGAGTTCTGTGGAACATCCCACTCTAGACAAGGAGGGATTCATTGGCTATCAGTGGACAGGCCATATGGAAAATGTCATTCCAAGAGGAAGCTGTGAGATATCGCTACACAGTTAGTATATAAAAACCAACTGCTTTGGCAGATCTGAGTACTACGTCATCATAAGTTGGAGGCTTTCCTAGACAATGAGTATTACATTAGTAAATCATTCTGGTCAACGCTTCCAAGCTGATTAAATAAACTAAAGTGAGAAACATCTTAAACATTTTGTATAATGGAGCCAATGATTGTCTCCAGATTGGTTCCTGCAGTCTGGTTAGATGATTAGTAAACAATGACTTTGTTAAAATCAACCAACATACTGAATGAACAGTTTGGAAGCGCTGGAACAACAGAAGTTCATGTTTGAATGTTAACAGTGTGGATCTGTAAAGCTGTAAAACAATCTCTGTGATTGGAAATATCATGCAAAGACTTCTAAACTCTTAAAAACAAAGGTTGCTAAAGGGATTTTTCAAGCAATGCCATAAAAGAACCATATTTGGATTCCCAAAGAAGTGGACAGTTCTCAAAAGAACCCATTTTTTTCTTAGTGCGAAGAACCTTTTTCCACTATAAAGAACATTTTGCCCAATTAAAAGATTCCATGGATGTTAAAGGTTCTTCTTGGAACCATCGATGCCAATTAAATCTATACTTTTAAGAGTGTAATATGGAAAAATTCAACCATAGAACAGATTGCATTTGGTTAAACACCAAATTTTGCATTTGGATCATCACCCTCTAAACATGCAAGACTAATGAGCACATTTATAAGAAACCCACATCAGAACAGATACCTAAAGTAAATATTTATGTCTCTCCCCAGTGTTTTCTTTCCATGGGGGGGCTTTTACTGTACTTTCAAGACCAAGAAGGAGAGAAAGGGGGAGGCAGACATCTTAATATGCATTGAATAACTGCTGGATTTGTAGACTAGAAAAAGTTTAGAGATGTGTGGGAACATTTTTGCTTTTTTTGGACAATAGGAGTTCAAGTATTTTAACAAATATCAATATATCGTCACTAATGAGATGATTATAGAAATGCATGTTTCTTTTTTGCACGATTTCACTTCATTCATTCATTCATGAACTCAGACTTTAGAAATAATCTGCAATACACAATAAACATAATCTGCCAATTTAAACGCCATCATTGGAAATGTTAGAGAAAAACGCGTTAGGATTACTAATATTTTTCTTAATGCAAATAAAAAAAATAGAAAAACAACAAAGGGAAAAACTTGCAATGAATATCGAAAAGTTACTTACGTAAACTTTATCGAACTTTCCTTTGAAGAAGAAGAGCGTTTGCTCCAGCTCGAGCTCTCGAACCGAATCGGTTCCAGAATCCAGAATCTTATCGCCAAACCGGGTTCCGTAATCGAAGAGCTGCTCCCGGTTCAGACACCGGACCGACACCAGCAGAGCCAGAAGCCCAACACTGCGCAGAAGAGCCATTATACAACTCTAGAAACTCTACACATATGTGCCGTCAAAGCTCCGGTCGGGGATGAACTCTAGAGGTGTAAGAGGAGTTCATGGAGGAGGTGGAGGAGCCTCGGAAATCATTTACATTACTGGGGAAATCTGAACCCCCTGGAGGACGTCACGACAAAAGCTAGGGTGGGGGTGCCCATAGCTACCATTAAAGTCATTCAATTCTAGGTATTTTCTACGTTTAGAACATTTACAAGTGTGTCAGAGCACGTATTTTCATCTGGCGCTAAAATCGCGTTCGCTCGAGGGGTAACCATAGCAACAGCGACTTTAGTTACGAAAATAGAACTTTACGTCGACAAAAATAAGAACTGTCGCCATTTATCACTTTGCTGCGAATTTATATTTCACAACTACATACAAATACATACTACGAGTCTCTAACGTAACCATAGCAACGGCGACTTAAGTTACGAAAATAGGACTTTACATCGACAAAAATAAGAAGTCCCTGTTGAAAAAAACAGCATATGCTGGTTAGGTATGTTTTGAAGCTGGGATGCTGGTTTGAGCTGGTCCTTTGCTGGTTTATGCTGGTCCTTTGCTGGTTTATGCTGGTCCTTTGCTGGTTTATGCTGGTCCTTTGCTGGTTTATGCTGGTCCTTTGCTGGTTTATGCTGGTCCTTTGCTGGTTTATGCTGGTCATGTGCTGGTCTTAAGCTGGTCGGACCAGCACATGACCAGCATAAACCAGCAAAGGACCAGCTCAAACCAGCATCCCAGCTTCAAAACACACCTAACCAACATATGCTGTTTTTTTTTCAGCAGTCGCCATTTATAACATTTATATTTCACAACTACATAAAAACACTACGAGTCTCTAACGTAACCATAGCAACGGCGACTTTAGTTACGAAACTAGGACTTTACATGGACAAAAATAAGAACTGTCGCCATTTATCACATTTATATTTCACAGCTACATAAAAATACGAGTCTCTAATAAGTCTAGAAGTCTTTAACGACGGAATCATCAAAGATTCTCTTTGAAGAATCTGTTGCAGTATGTGCTGGATTTGTTCGAACATCTTAAGTGCCCATACCAAAGTGGTTTAATTCTACATATAAGCTACATTTCTAAAAGTTTCAGTAAATTTATAAGTGTGTCAGAGGCAGAGCATATATTTTCATTTGGCGCATAAATTGCCTTTGCCTAAGTGGTAACCATAGCAACAGCACCGTTAGTTACATAAATCGGACAATACTTATCACTTTACCATGAATTTATATTTACCAACTACATAAAAATAAACCTAAATATTCCGTATATAAGTCTTTAACAGCAGAATCAAAGACTATTTGTGAGAACCGCTTCGCGACAAAAAAACAGCCCACTGTTATTAAAATATATGTGCTGGATTTGTTGGAATAGTACCCATAAGTGATTTAATTTCACATCTAAGGGGCATTTTGTATGTTTTAAAAAAAGGTATAAAATTAAAAAGTACATATTTTCATCTGGCGCTAAAGCCGCGTTCGCTGCGTGGTAACCATAGCAACAGCGTGCTCCTCGAGCGCTTTTTATAACAAAAATCGTACTCTACATTGATAAAACATAACTACAGTAGTCATTTATTACTTCACTATCAATTTATATTTTACAATTACATAAAAATAACTGTCTGCAAGTCTTTAACAAACGGACTCATTATAGGAATGCTTCGCGACAAAAAATAGCCTACTCTCGTCAAAATATGGGCTGGATTTGTGCAAATATCTTAAGCACCCATACAAAAATAGTTTCATTTTACATATAAGTGACATTTTCTACTTTTAAAAAAGTTTTAGAACATGTACAAGCGCGTCAGAGAACGTTTCGTCGCGTTCGCCTGAGTGGTAACCATAGCAACAGCGTGCTCCACGAACGCTTTTTCTTACGAAAATCGTACGCTTCATTGACCAAACATAACTACTGCCATTATTTAACAATTCACTGTGAATTTATATTTCACAGCTACATAAAAATATATTTCCGTGTTCTGTCTACAAGTCGTTAACAGCTGATTAATCAAAGACTGGAAGCAACGCGACAAATAAATAGAATGCGGTTTTTAAAACATATTTGTGCTGGATTTGACCAAGCGGCAACCACCCGCTCTCTCTCGTGAAGCCAACAAGGAAGTGACTTAAACTGTAATTCATCAACTGGCCGCTAGAGGCTGGCTGCAAAAGGGAGTCAATCCCATAGACTCCCCATGTTAAAATGCCCAACTTTACAGCAGAAAAAAACATGTTTACAGCCTGGTTCAAAAAAT